AAGTTGGCATGGTCTTCTCATGCGGCAAACGTCGTGCTTTTCTTCGAAGTGACGAAGAAAAGCGAAACCAATTCCATTGGAGGTCCATCCAACGGTGTGTCCAATGGTTTAGCCCTTCTAACCAACGTGTGGAGTCGTCGACATTGGTTGGGCCATGGATGTTTTTGGTCGCTTCTAGTAGCTTCTTGCTACTATAGTAGTAATATGTAGTAGTGCCCTTGTTACTAGTAGCAATGCCCTTGCTACTAGTAGCGAGGCCCTTGCTACTTGCAGGCAAACCGGAGACACTGAAAAAGCGATCTTCATGGCGAAGCACTTTTGGAACGACTGAAGCGGTGTGAACGGTGTGAACGACTGATCGTTGCAGCTAAAGCAGCTAACCCGTCGAAACGTTTTCTGGACCTTCCTCATGTTGAGATAGATCCACATGGCGGAAACAGGGGGCAGGGATCCAACACACTCATGAGCTACTAGCCTGAAACATCCGTAAACTATAACTATCAGCACCTTCCAACAGGTCTCCTGTGGAGGCTTTTGTAGACTTAAATGTCGCAGGTGGTGACCTGGCAGTGAGGGTGCTGGTATAGAGATGTATAGAGTATTTATATAGAGATACATAGGAGATGGACCGAACATCCTCAGCTTTTTCCTCATCGACGCATCTCCTCTTCATTGTTATAGGGGTGACTTGTCAAGTCCTGGACCATAAGGGGAGTCCTCTCCTAAAGTGAGAGTTTCACTCAGATCGATTTCTTGCACCTTGAAGTTCACAAAAACCTCACCATCATCTCCACCTCCACAATCCAACAGGTCGGATTTCTAAAGAACACCTCCTAATTTACTTTTTTTGGGGGTGGCTTTTTCCTTTTCCTCCCAGAACTACTTAGTGAATCCATGTGAATCCCCGCACAGGCGTGTGTCCAGAGTGGTTTTTTGATCCCAAAAGCTGGACATCTCCACGCGTGACCGGTCACCGGTCTTGAACGGTGGCGAAGCTCGTCTCAGCTCGGACATCTCGGGTCCATCCTTCCGCCGAGGAGCCGTGCCGAGGGCTTGACCGTGAAGACGACGCGACCGGTAGCTGCCGGGGAGGCCAAGAGAGGGCGGCACGAGGTGGGGCGACCGGTAGGGGGTTGAAAGGGTGATATCAATGACTTATACCATACTTATCATTGATATCACCCTTTCAACCCCCTACCAACTGATATGACTTATACCATACTTATACAAACAACGCGGCTGTGTAACTGTCTTCATGTGTGATGGGAGACAAGGTTTCAGGAATTTGGTACCTAACATTTAAGGGCAAGAGTAAGCAGCTAACTGGAGAAGGTAATATAGAGCTTGGGTATGTTTGGGTGCTCCTCCTGGGCGTAGAAAGCTGAAGAGGTTGAGTGCATTGGGTGTGAGTATGTTCCAAACGTTGGGGTTAGTGGTTGCTTTCCACGGCTGAAGTGACCAATGGGAGGGTGCTGGTAGATGACTCTTACGTTTTGGCTGTAACTTTGAGTCTACTGTACCTCTTCTTTCCTTTTGTTGAGTTATGCATAGCCAAACGGTCCAAACGTAAGTTAGACTGCTGATCAATAAAACCCCCATTCACTCCAAATCAGGGGGGTGATTAATGAAGATTCTACACGACCCACGCAATCCACGGGACTGGCATATGTACTGTATACTTTGAATTGGGGTGGTTGGTTGATTTCTGGGGCCCAAATCCCCAGACACGACTAATGGGACTGCCATATATGCCGCCCCATTGACCCCCAAAAGCACCACCCCGGAAAGGCCGTGCCACTCGGCAGTCCAGCAGTCCCGGACAGGTCGCGTCTCTGATCCACGTCGTGGTGCCTGACACGTCACGCAGGAGCTCACCATCAGCTACATCAGCAAGCCCTGGTGCGACCTTGCACGCCCGGCACGGCGCCGCTACTTGCGCCTCGACCGGGAGGAATAAGGTGTGACCTACGTGAACGGGGTTTTGGTGGTGCCACAAAGGTGAGGAGAAGGAACAGCAGATGGATGAGATGGATAAGACCCAGAATGTGGTAGCTTTTGGAGTGGCAGTTTCTCTGAATTTCCTCCAACTCTAAGGCTGGAGTGGGTGTATCTATTCTTCATGTTCTGGCGGATGAGGACTTTCTTTGTTTTGACGTGCGGATGAACGAACTTCGGAATTTTGTCAGAAACTGCCACCAGCTTGGTTTGAATAGGCACCGCTCTTCAATCTTCTCAAAAACTTGCCAACAATTGCCAGCTCCTTGATCCCCCAACCTTGGCTGTATTGAACTGACAGAAGTCGGAGATCCCACATCCATTCGATCTGGTCTTCCTCTCTCTCCCGTCCCCTCGGGGTCTCCGAGATTACACCGAAGCCCAGGAAGCAGAACTTCAACTTTTTCTGCCTCTGTAAGGTTGGAATCCGCCGCTTCTCTGATGGGTTGCCGACTTTGAACAAGGGACGTCCATGAGAGTCCAACGCTCCAATGGGTGTTGTGAGGGAGTTGAGGAGTTGTTGGCAATCCCTTTTCCAAAGGGGCCAGGAGTTAGAGGGATTTGCCCAAGCACTTGCTGGCTTCAATCCGAACAACCCTGGTTTTCTCTGGGCTAGAATGTGAGTTTAGCTGGAGAGCCCCCCAAAAACATCTGGATCATCTGGGTCAATTTCTTCCAACCAACACAGGTCAGGTCTTCACTCGCAACACACCCCTCCGCGTTCGCACAGGGACCTCTGCATTCGTCCAGGCAGCTCCCCGTTCGCCAGGCCTGTATGGCTCCCACCGAGCCTCCTAGCGCGTTGACCACGTCGACCAGTGCGCCCACCAGCGCGTCGACCACGCCTCCACGCCCGGGGGCCCCAGGGACTGCGTAGTCCCGAAGATCGCGCGTCAGAGGTGTCGGCACAGTAGAATGTAGATCTGGAACCCATTCGACCTTTGTTTTGATAGGAAAAGACCATATTTGGGGTGGTTGGTGGTTCAAAATAGAGATCATTCAGGTTCCAGGTATATAGCTTGGTTTCTGCAAAACCGGCTGGTTTGGGGGGATGCTTTGGAGGAATTCCGCAAGCACCACGGCGTGTCGAATTTTGCTCGAACACATGCGGTGGTTCCTTTTGGAAAGCACCATATAAATTCAAAACAGGGGACACTTCTACAAGTTTATGGGAGTTGTTTACGAGACTACTTCTATCATCTACTCCGCTACTCGTGGAATTTTGTAACCAAATTTGTTTTGCTCGACCTTGCCAACGAGTGGATTGTGGAGGGTGTGAGTGTGTGTGTTTTGTGACACAGAAACACTACCTGGTTTGGCCTGGACTGGTCAAGAATCAAGGACCTACCAACCCGGTATGGTCATAGCAGACGATGTGGGATGTACATCCAGCTGTATCACTGGGTCAACCAATTGAACATTTGCAGAACCCTTCATGTTCTGACTCCAAAGAGATCAGATACTTGCTGTTTGAATTCACATTAACCGTAGCACAAGAAATTTGTCACACCCAGACTTCCTGTTTTTTTGGCAGTCTCTCAAGACTAGTTGGAGATCCTTGGCGCGATCTGGCGCGACAAGCCTTTTTGAAAAGACACGATTTCGACCAGACTCGAAAAAAAGAAACAAGAACAGATGTTTGCCTTCTTCACCCGGAACCTGTGCAACATCACCTCACCGAGCAACATGCCAGGTCTTCATCTCAAGGGGACTTATGGGGACCCTATGTCTGGAAGCTTCTTCGCTGGATCTCCACTCCCTCGGTCTGACCACCGTGAATGACCCGCGAGTCAGACGGGTGCATTTCCTGGGTGAGACAGGCGGGCATTGCCCTGCCTTCTTAGGCTGCTCACCTTACATCCCAGTAATGAAGCGAATCCAGATGGAGCATATCATAGAAATGTGAGGACAAGAAAGACCGACTCACTGTGCGAAACATTACCGACATGAACTGTATCACCTGAGACATTATACCAACTCCCTGTTTGCCGGGCCGGACCGGGGCGTTGCTCAGGGTTCTGATGACCTGACATGTCACATAAGTCACAAGGTATATTTAAATCGGGAGACCCAGCTGGCGAGGTCTCCCTCAATACACACCCATAAGATACCATAAGGTATTTGGAAACCTCACACTCACCAGAATCGCCGTTCAACGGTCCAAGAACCGTTTTGTCCAGTCACGCAACGTTCGGAAGCAATTTTTTGGGGGGTAGGACTCCCACTAGACCTCCAGGACTCCCACTGGACCTCCAGGACTCCCGCAGGACCTCCAGATTGGGTAAGCGAATTTGTTTGGATGTTTGAGAGACTTTTTCGGGGTGTATGAGTTAAGCCACGAGTCTCTAGCCACCGAGTTATTACGAAGGGTCTCAAAAACCAGACAACTGTTGGAGGGGATCAACAGCCAGGGCTGTAGAGGATATGGGGATTGGACCAAATCTACCTTTTCATTTCAGCCTTTGCTGGTCCATCGACCATGCTCCATCTTCGGTTCTCTTCTTCACTGTCATCCACCACCCAAATTGATCTTCTCCAAGTCAGCACCATCCAGGGCCCATCAGTGCCCACCCAACGACGAGTCCATCCTTGTTCTCCAAGTCGCTTGGGTGACGAGGATGCTCCATGCGGGGCGCCTCCATCGCGCCATGGGCTCCGGTGACTTTGCCAGCGCCTGTGACCTCGTGCGCTCGGCACGCTGCGAGGAGCGCGGGGCTCGAGGGCGCGGCGACGCGCCACGAAATGGGGCGGTGGGGTAGATTGGATTTTTGATTGGTTGTTGATTTGATCAGCGGACAGATAGAAGAGGGAGAGATGGATAATGATGGATATATAATTGATCCAGAAATTAATTACTGCATACGTTCGATTTAGGTTTCGTATTTCAATCATGTTGCGGATTTGCATTGGTCGTTCGCTCGGAACGTTTTTCTTGAGGTAGGGCTTGAGTTTTCGGTGATGCCACCTTTTTGTACTCAAGAGTGGGTTCGCGGGGCGGACGTTCGATGCCGGCTGCTTGCAGTGCGTGCTCTAGGCCGCACTTTGTTGAGGAAGGAGGGTTGTGCCGTGCCTGTGTCCTCCTCAGGAAGATCGGCCAGGAACTGCGATTTGCTCCCCATAGCCGGCTTGAGGCAACGATTGCAGTATCTTGGCTGGAAAGCGCTTTGAGAGGCCTTGAGGTCCTTCGTGACGCTTCTCACTTCCAGGAGGAGGAATCCCCAGGAAACAGGCACGGTCTTCAATCCCTACCACCTCGACATAGCAGTGGAGGAGCATCTACAGAGGACAACAGGGTGCAGCCTAGGGTGAGGACAGAGGATAGGAGAGAGGTTGAGGAGGAGGTGGTGCCTGAGGAGTCTAGGCAGAGGAGAGAGAGGAGAAGGGAGCAGGACGGTCGAGACCACAATGGAAAGCGACGGAGGAGGTGATCGAGGAGGTGAGGACACTGGATGGTTCGACCTGGAGGAGGACAGAGAGAGGTGGCTGATGATGGGTGTCTTCGCCGGAAGGGTATTGATTTGTGCTGTAGAATGTGGAGGAAAGCGGCTTCCAGTTCCCCTCTTCGTGAAGTTCGACCAGGTATTACGAGATGGCAGCATAGCAGCAGAGGTGGTCTCCCTAGGCACCACAGACAGCAAGGAGAGCCGGCAGCTCACGAGCTTGAACAAGACCTTGAAGCAGGTTCACATTTGCAACGAGGTCGAATGCCGCAGCTCTGGGAACTACCTATGCCATGCCAAGGCCCTCTCCGTCATCCCCGGTCAGGAGCTCAAGAAGGGTTACCTAGGCCCCTCTGGCTACAAACGATGGGTGTCGCTTTGCCAAGAAGTATTAGGTATAGAGGTTGGAGGGGTTGCAGGAGAAGAAGAACCCGAAGAGCCTGCCGAGAGGTCAGTGTTGCGACCCAGTGCACTTCGTCGTACCAGAGATGCAAGGGGCGACCGGGGAGATCGACATCCTATTTTTGTAGGAGACGAGGAGGTTGGCATCGACCTGAGCGGCCGCGAGATCGAGAGAGGTGCAGAGGAGAAGGAGGTCACAGAAGAGAGGTCAGAGAAGAGAGACAGAGGAAGACGCAAGGTTACAGAGGCCCTCTCGGACCTGAAGTCCAAACTACGGGAAAGCCTGAGCAGTCCTGGCGAGGGCGCTCCAGTTGGGGCTGGTTTGACAGAGAAAAAGACGCCCGCCGCATCGTCACCTGCAGTTCCAAAGAAGCCCAAGACTGGGCCTCAGAACTTGAGCCTTGGAATGGAGACTACATCTACGGCAGTGAAGGAGAAGTTGAAGGAGGCATTGGAGGAGCAAAGAGAAGATTCTTCGAGTGGCAAGAAACCGAGTTCGCCTATGGAGGCGGCGAATCGAGCGTCGGGGTCAGGTGGACAAGTCGGAGGAAAGAGACGCAAGAGGAAGCGAAGCGAGGAGCGTAGGTTGAAGGCCCTTCGCAATGTCCTGAAGCCCAAGAAGGACAAGGACAAAAAGAAAAGAAGAAAAAGAAGAAGGCGTTGAAAGACGGTGGAGACCCCCCAGACAGCAGTGGCAGCTCAGGAGGATCTTCGGACGACGAGGACGAGGAGGACGAGAGCACAGAGGAGTCGACAGAGGGCGAGAGCAGCGAGGAGAAGAAGGCGCGGCGGTTGCAGGCGCCTCTCAAGAGGAAGAGTCAAAAGAAAAAGGGCAGCGTTATTCTACTCCTCTTGCAGCAGATTGCCGAACAGATGCAGGACATTGCAACCTTGTCGGAGGACCTCCTCACAAGCGGGCCAAAGGTGGGCACGTACTGGCAGATCAACCTCAAGCATCGATATCACCAAGGACATCCTGCCCTGAGGGAGCTCTACTTGTTGGCGACGGTGATCGACCGCATCAGAGGAGGTCAGCTTCTAGAGGCATTGGATGCTTTGGCCGGCCGCTTCATCGCGGTGGAGGCGGCCACCCACGACGGTTGGAACGTCGCCCGGCACCTCGAAGTGGCCGTTCCATCAGAGCAGGCAATAGCCCCAGCCGAACTCCACTTGGCCGCCCGGCGACATCAGAACATGATCTACAAAGCACAAGGCTTCGAAGGAAAAGGCGCATGATGCAAGGATTCAAAGGACAAAGGAAGAGGCAAGGGTTGGAAAGGCAACAGAGAGGGCGGCAAAGAGGAGATGAGGCTGAGAAGGAAGAGGCAGGGCTACAGAGGTCAGAGCAGTGAGATTGCAGAAGGAGTGATGCCGCAGGCAGAGGTGAGGCCAGAAGGGATGAGAGGTGAAGAAGGTCCGCTGCTGACCGGAGGAAGAAGAGGGGAGAAGGTAGCAGACAGAATGTGTGAGAGCGCTGACCTGAAATGCCTCGGGCTGGCATGGAGCTGGATGATCCTGGTAGGGGCAAAGAGTCCACTGGGGGAAAGCTGGTTATGGGGGAAAGTTGGTGCTTTGGGTAGTTGGACCTGTAGTGGGCAGCTGCTTGGCAATAAGAGCCTGTATCCATTTCCCCACATGTGGAAACGACTCGCTCAGAAACTTGAGGGTAGTTTGTTTGAGGACGTTTTCAGGGAGAGCTTTTGGACCTCAGAGGACTACATTGACGGGTGGACCCTGGCTGCAGTAAAGTTCTGCCAAATGATGCATGGAGGTAATGGAGGTTTCAAGAGAGGAAATGCCAAGAAGGCCCACTGGAGAGCCCTGGAATCCGTTCGGCATAGGGTGTGTTCGTTGCTGAGTGAATGGAAGCCAGGGCTTAGATGGGGGCCTGCTCAGATCAAAGAAGACCTAGAGAAGAGAGACATAGGGTATGCAGGCGAAGAGATAGGTAAGGTGGAGAAACTAAGTGGAGAGCAAATCCTCCCTTCACTGCCCCCCGTCGGACGTGGAGGTTCGATTCGTTTGGTGGATTGGGTTAGTGCATCAACGAGAAGGTTGCTGGAGAATCCGTCCCTAACAGAGGTCGAGGACGTTGGACAACCGGTTCCCAGGCTTCAAGGTCGTGTCAATGTTCGTGAAGGGGAAAGGATGCATGTGGCCTCGCTTTTGGTGGAGAGAGGGATTTGCAAGTGGTACCCCGAAGATGAGGTCTTTGAGTTCAGGGGCACAAAGGTGAAGAATGGGCTGTTTGGGGTGGTGAAGCCCGGACGTGCCGTCGGAGGAGTCGAGACACTGCGGGTCATCATGAACCTCATCCCAAGCAATGCGCTTCACTCTGTCATTCCGGGGTCAGTTCATCGGCTTCCTACCATTAGTCAGTGGACCTCGATTTTCTTGGGGCCGGGCGAGAGGATAGAAGTGAGCCAGGCAGATATCACATCTGCTTTCTACCTGTTCGAACTGAGCTGGGAACAGGCTATGATCCGGCCACCCGTTACACCCTATGTGCGAGGGTTTTGCCCATGGGGTGGAGTTCAGCAGTAGGGGCGATGGAGGAAGCAGCTGAGACCTTGCTAAGGGACATAGGATTGCCTGACAACCATGCGGTCAACCGGGTTTCTTTGCTCCCAAGAGGTTTCGTAGAGGAACTAAAAGGAGATGAGGTTCAAGGATCCCCCTTTTGGCACATTTACCTTGACAACTATGCGTCAGGACAGAGGCTGCGTCAAGGCGAGAGAGGATGGATAGGCGCAGAGGCTGAGAGGTTAGAGAAGACCATGAAGCTTAGCCTCTGGCTATGCTGCAGGAATAACCTCCGTCACAAAAGCCTGCAAATAGTATGCACATCCTCCAATTTCGGAGACCAGGGATGGCACACTTCAGCGGAGTTTGGGAGTTCCTGAAGGAGCGCTCCAAAAAGAAAGAGTGGCAAGCACGCTGGGAACTCCTGTCCATAGGACTAGGAGGCCTATTGTTTCACACTGACCTCACCGCCCAACCTTCAGAGTGTGTCTCGGCTAGTGACGCTTCGATGGCCGGAGGAGCAGTCGGAATTGCAGAGGAGGTGACGTGGCTGGGAAGAGACTTCGTCTACTTTGACAGCCACGAGGAGAACCAAGGAAAGAAGGTGCCGGTGCTGCTGATATCGCTGTTTGATGGAATCGGAGGAGCGAGAAGGTCGTATGACCTGGCAGGAGTGAGGCCGGCGTTGAGCGTCAGCGTTGAGGTACATCGCCCCGCTAGGCGAGTGGTGGGGCGACGATGGCCCGACAGCCTGGAGTTCGATGACGTCCGAGCAGTCGATCGAAAGATCATTGAGGAGTGGATAGCAAAGGCTGGAGACATCGTGGCTATACATGTGTGGGGTGGCTTCCCTGCAAGGACTTGAGTGGAGCCAAGGCTCAACTTCTGAACCTAGCCGGATCCCACAGCTCACTTTTCTACGAGCTTCAGCGCGTCTGGCACGAGGTCCAGGAGGCGGCTCCAACTCTCGAGACCGTCTTGTTCGCTGAAAATGTGTGCTCTATGGATAGTGCCGCCCGGGACACTATTAGTCGGGAACTTGGTTTGACCCCCTACCGCGTCGACAGTGAGTTCATTGTTCCGATGAGCCGCCCCCGTTTTGTTTGGACGAATTTGGGAGTTAGGGAGGACAATTTTGTCTGGACGGAATGGAAAGGGGGTTTTTGGCAGGTATATTTTGAATGTGAGCCACTAGGGACGACGTTGTGGGCTGAACAGGTTGGAGGCCGCTTCACGAAGCTGCATTTTTTCCGACGTGCATGCGTGCGATCGTTCGTCCTCGTCCGCCCGAACGTCCGGTGGGGTACCATCGTTGTCTGCCTCATGAGCTCCTTCGCTGGAGACAGGACAGTTTTCGCTTCCCACCTTACCAATATAGAGATTGCTATATGATGGTTGAGGAGTGTTCGGACAAGGTTAGGTACCTGAGCCCTGCAGAGCGGGAAACACTGATGGGATTTGGACCTGGACACACAGAACCAGCCCTTAATGCTTCGACAGCTAAGAGCAGCCCAAAGGGATATGCTGATGAGAGAATGAGCCTCACAGGGGATGCATTCCCTGTCAACACATTCTGGCTCTTTGCTGCTAGTTCCGTGGAGAGATGGGTAACCCGACGAAGTCCTCGACATTATCAGCAGCGACTAGGAATGTTCCCAGGCGCGTGTTTGGCAGTTGAGCGGTTGGCCCCCATTGGCTGCACCACACCATTGGCAGCACCACGGAGGAGTTAATGAGTATGTCAGATGTCAACCAGCTGATGGTGCGACAGTTGGCTCGAAAGGTCTCCCAAAACGGGAGCGACATCAGGGTCAGCGTTGGTCAACCGACAAACCCCAAATTGTATCCACGGCAGAGCATCCCCGCAAACTTTTGGACTTGGAAAATCACCCTCAAAAGACGATGGGAGTGCAAGGAACACATCAATGCACTGGAACTAAGTTTGCAGTGGAGGCTTGAGCATCACGCCTGTTCAAATATGCGCGTACTCCACCTCAGCGATTCCGCTGTGAGCATTTCAATCTTAGCTAAGGGCAGAACCTCTAGCAAAGCATTGATTCACATTGTGAGGAAAATAAACAGCTTGCAGCTCCTTTTCAACATATATTTGATGTCCGTTCACGTGGATAGCATGCAGAACCCCACGGATGAGGCGTCGCGTGTGGCATGAGAGGCTCTAGAAAACGCCTTACCAAGGCTGCCAGACGACAGTTGAGGCAGCGCACCTCCCTTTCTCAGAGTGGGTTGAAGGCCAGCACTCTGAAGAGGTATAGAGAGGCTGTGCACCGCGCTTTTAGAGGATTGGGATTTTATCTCAGGAGATCTAGAGTCGGTCACAGCTTTTGATCTGGAGCTGGGAAACTTTTTAGAGTACGCCTACGAACAAGGCGAATCCGTTGTCCTTTGCTGGCGATGTACTCAGCGGGCTGCAGGTTTTCTTGCCTTTTCTTCGAAAGAAGTTGTCTTACAGCTGGCACCTCTTCGGCCTGTGGAGAAAGAGTGAGAAGTGCTGGCAGGCGACGCCACTCAGCCTGGAGCTTCTCTGGGCAATGGTGGCTCGATGCTTGGAGATCCGAGACATCACAATGAGTTTTCTACTGGCCATAGGCTTCTTCGGTCTTTTCAGAACAGGTGAACTTCTCCAACTTTGTCTAAACGACGTCAACGTTGACACCAATGCGGTCATCACCCACCTTTCTGAAACAAAGACAAGTGGCAAAACAGGACCTGGAGAACATATCGTGATTCGTGAGCCGGCTGTGCTTCACCTTACTCGCACGTTTTTGGCTTTGCAACCTCGAAGAGGTCTGATCTGGAGGGAGTCCAGTCAACAATTTCGTGTGCAGTTCAGCAGGATCATCTCCTTTTTCCGGCTCAGCGAGCATGGATACCGTCCATATTCCCTTAGAAGGGGAGGAGCGACACAATTGTATAGAGCCCAAGTCCCGATGGACTTAATCCTAATCAAAGGCCGCTGGCGCAATTCCAGCTCAGCGCGCCAGTACATCTCTGATGGGATGACAGAGATTGCAGCCGCCAAGTTTTCCAAGAAAACTCGAACCCTGATTCGAATGTCCCTTTCCCAGCTAGGTTTTTCTTCATCGTCTGAGCAGACGAGCTGGTAACCCAGGGTGGCGTGGAGTGAGCGTCAGAAATCGGCCTTGAAATGCCCTTTGCAACAGCATCACTTGTGAAAAGTCCTGCCACATGGACTTCT